TGAAAAGAGCCTAAGAGAATTTCAACAAAAATCGTGACAGGAGAGAACTGGGTATTTATCATGGTATTGATACTATTGTTAAAAATTGTATTGATAGTACTATCGATACTGGTATCGATACTACTATCAATACTCATATCAATACTAGTATCAATACATGTGTGGATACTACTATCGATACTTGTATTGATAGTATCAATACATGTATTGATACAGATATTGATATCCAATCAACATAAACAAATCAAATGCTAAAATTGTATGTCTTAGGGGACAAGTTTGATCCAAGGACTCATATTGGTTTATGTAATCTATAAAAAATAGGGGTAGAGAGTGAGGGTTATGGATGTAAAATTTTTTGTAAATCCTCTTTTGGTGATAGGAGGGCTACTTTTTGAGAAGGTCTTCCAAATATTGTAAAATTTTACTTTTACAATAACAAAAAAAAAAATTATTTCCCCTCTTCAGACCTAATACATGAGTCAACGAGGTAGCTTATTGCTAGCCTAGACCGTTCTGGTTAGCACTAACTAGATTGTGTAAGGTTGTCATAGGATTTGGATTTTAATGCATAAAACTATGTGGACAAATTAAATTTTAATGCACTAACTAGATTTTTATGCTTGAGATAAATATCGATTTAAGGTTGGTTAATTGACCAGAGGACTCTGATATGAGTGCCTATTTGATTAATATGAGTTATATGTGTAACCATCTTAACTGGATAGACTCAATCATTTCATATCCAAATAAGAATGTAATTATTTTCTCTAATAAATTGTTTATGTTTTTTATATACATTTTGTACACAATACTACATGCATTATCCATCTAAGACTTATGATCATTCCAGTTGATTCTTATTTTATTCTTATCTAGCTGATAAGGATATTATCATTATATTTTTGTAGCTAACCCTTGATTCTTGCAGTTTCTAAAATATTCATCACTGAGACATTACGTCTAACCCTTTTATGGATCCCCTTCTTCAAGTAATAAAGTGAGTCTGACTATAGCAGACCAAACATATCCAAAAAAGCAGGTTATGAGGAAGTAGTTGTGCCATGCAATAGTGGCAACAAACAATAATTAGATTACTTATTTAGTTTTAGTAGATACTTTGTGATATTATCTCTAGAGATTTTATCTAGCATTTGATGGTCGTGTTTGAGACAAGTCTTGTATTTATTTTTAGATATTGAAGTTTATCAATCTAGTAGATTTGAAACTTTTAACAATTGATATATCTCTTCTTGTTCTTGCTTTGATATTTTGCTGTGATGTTGTTGTTGTGATGAGACATGTAATTTCATGTATATTTGTGTTATGAGTGGTTGTGAATGTACAACAAAACATGTTACATGATATTTGTAGAACATTTTATATTTTTTGTTCTATGAATATTCTACCTATCAGGTCATTACCCATGAGCAGGGCGTGACAATTTCATGAACAATGTTCTACCCGGACAATGTTCTAACACTTGTAAGATATACCAGACTGGAACCTGTCTAATGGTTGTTGAATTAGTTGCTCGCATCAGATGATAAAAATGCAACTGATCGTGAGATACAAAGCACCAATATCAACATGCATTTAAGGAAGCTCATGAGGTAAACACAAAGTAAAATGTTTACATTAATTTGAAAATTGTAGGCTAATGATGGTAGTTAGAGATAACCAATTAAGGGACATTGAGAACTCAAGGTGCTGCTTCAAATGTACACTGGTACAAAATGAGGCATCCTAAATGGAAAATTTCGTCTAGGAAACTTAAATTTCCGTCTAAGAAAACTATCCAGATGAAATTATGTCTACGATGTACGTCCAGTATGTTTTTGTTTAGAATGCAGTATTCTAGACGAAATTTCCGTCTAGGCTGCTTCCTATACGAAATATTCTAGACGGAACGTAGAACCGTCTAGGAAGTATCCTAGACAAAAAAATTCGTCTAGGAAGCTTCCTAGACGGATGCAACAATTTTTTTGGAATCTATTCTGCACGGTTTATAAACGTGCACAATATTGCACAACACCAAATCACATTCATATCAAACACAATCTAATTATATTCAAATAATGCATTCACCAAAATACTAGAGCGATACATAAATTGTTTATATAAGTTGTATACATAAATAATACATTCACCAAAAGGACGTGCGGCGACGGTAGTGCCCTCGAGCACTCCAAGCTAACAAAGTTTTGATTCGGTGGCATAACGAAGAAAAGCAAAGCCTTTGGGTCTATTTGCTATTCGATCCATCACAAAGTTAACTGAAAAAAAAAAAGAAAAATGTGAAATTACAAGTGAATTCCTTTATAGATGGATGATATATTAAACGCAAATTAGAAGGGAGAGAAGGAGGAGGGTGCTACATTTAAATGATATATTAAAGCGTGTATAAGACCATCTCCAATAGGGGACAATTCAAATTCACTTTATCCCCTTCCACATAACCTGCCACATTATCAAATGTCTTCACTATCACATACACTCCACAATAGAGGATAATTTAGGAAATAATTCACTTTTCTATCTCTCCTCATCACTCCCCATCATATATTTTATTATATTATATTTTTTCATATGTGATATATGTATTATAATTAATATTATTATAATAATAATATTTTTATTTTTTATTTTTTTTATTTATAATTATTTAATTTTGATATTTATCAAATATTATTACAATATTAAAAACAAGACAAGATTTTATTGATGTAGATAAATCAACAGTACAATTTATTAAAAACACACAAAACAAACTAAAATTTGACAAAATTAAAATCGAAAGTTGAAAATTAAATTGCGGTTGCTCCAAACTTTTGCCAAATGTGCTCGACAAGATCCTCCTTCAATTGAAGATGTTTGGCCCTATCTCGGAGTTCAGATCTAGTATGAATATCTGATTCGGACCTACCTTGAACATGCACTTCAAACTGAGGTAACGTTTGTGTTTGGTAATCAAATGATGAGCTCGAGCTAGCAATGCTTGATGGTTCAAAGGCAACGTTCTCCCAGTTTCGACTATAAGTATCTTGTTCATCCTCCACTATCATATTTTGTAAAATAATACACGCTCTCATAATTTTTGATAAGACATTCAAATCCCACATTCTAGCTGGTTGACGAATTATAGCAAAACGTGCTTGGAGAACCCCAAATGCACGTTCCACATCCTTCCTACAAGATTCTTGTTGTTTTACAAACAATTTCGCTTTTTCGCCTTGGGGATATTGAAATGATTGGACAAAGACAAGCCATTTGGGATAGATTCCGTCAGCAAGATAGTATGCCAAATTGTATTGATGACCATTCACAGTGAAGTTCACATGCGGAGCTTTACCTGCCTCAATGTCATCAAAGACAGGTGACCTTTCAAGCACATTTATATCATTCAATGTACCTGGCAATCCAAAAAAGGCATGCCATATCCACAAGTCATAAGAAGCAACCGCTTCGAGTATTACTGTTGTTGTGCCTTTATGTCCACTGGTAAATTGACCTTGCCAAGCCTTAAGATAATTTTTCCATTGCCAATGCATGCAATCAATACTTCCAATCATTCCCGAAAAACCGCGTTCTTCGCCTACTTTTAGTAGTCGTTGGAGGTCTTCCTCATTCGGCCTTCTCAAATAGTCATTCTCAAATATGGCCACAATACCTTCAGAAAACTTGCTGACACACTCTACTGCAGTGGTTTCTCCAATCTTTACGTATTCGTCACAAGCATCAGCTGCAACACCACATGCTAACATGCGTATAGCAGCAATACACTTTTGAATTGGCGATAAACCACGCTTTCCAACACTATTTCTCCTCTGAGTGAAATACGTGTCATAATTTGAGAGAGAATTTACAATTCGTAGAAATAGTGGTCGTTGCATTCGGTATCTCCGACGAAATTGGTGGTCGGTGTATGTGGGAGATTCGACAAAGTAGTCTTTCATCAGCCTTTGATGGGCAGCTTCATGGTTTCTCTCTATGTATGTCCTCTTATGGGATCGATTACTTGCAGCTTGTAACTCTTCAAGTAACTGTTGTTGGCGTTTGAGTAAAGATTCCTCCAAATCACATTATTTTTGGAGTTCCTCTAAGTTAAACTCGTATGGGGGTGGATTCATCTAAGTAATAATTGTGTAGATGAAATTGGTAATGAAGTGATGTGTAATAAGTTCAATATCCAAGTGGTATTTATATTACCCAATCTTAGATTTTCAGATATCACATGTGAAGCAACATTGATTTTGAGATGTTCAAGAGATAAGGTTTGGACTGTAGTGTGCAGAGATCACATGTGAAGTAACATTTATTTTGAGATGTTCAAGAGATAAGGTTTGGATTGTAGTGTGCAGAGATCACATGTGAAGCAACATTTATTTTGAGATGTTCAAGAGATAAGGTTTGGATTGTAGTGTGCAGAGAAGCAACATTGATTTTAAGATGTTCAAGAGAAAAGGTTTGGACTGTAGTGTGCAGAGATCACATGTGAAGTAACATTGCTTTTGATATGTTCAAGAGATAAGGTTTGGACTGTAGTGTGCAGAGATCACATGTGAAGCAACATTTATTTTGAGATGTTCAAGAGATAAGGTTTGGATTGTAGTGTGCAGAGATCACATGTGAAGCAACATTGATTTTGAGATGTTCAAGAGATAAGGTTTGGACTGTAGTGTGCAGAGATCACATGTGAAGCAACATTGCTTTTGATATGTTCAAGAGATAAGGTTTGTTTGTAATGTGCAGAGATCATATGTTTGGACTTTTACGTACAACATAGTTGAGCTTTGCTTTTCAAATTTCAAATGACTTACATACAAAGGAATTGTTTGCAGGAACCAAGATGCATTTTATTGAACAATACACTCAGACATCACATTCTAACAATACACTCAGACATCATACTCAGACAATACACTCTTAACATCATACTAAACAACACACATTACATTTATTCTTGGAATTGTAAAAGATGAACTCTCAAACAGATAAACTTAAAGGCCAAACAATTCGATCTGTAGCATGTTAAGCAGTTTATACTCATACTCGTCCAATGCATTTCTTTGATTTCTCTGATTAAGGTCCATCCACATTTTCATTTTTTCAGCACGTGCTGCCTCCTTTTGAGCACATGCTGCCTCCTTTTGAGCTGTTGCAACTTCTTGCATCATCTTCATCTGTTGTTCCTTCATTTCTTTTAGCTCCTGGCGTTCAGACTCTATCTTAGAGTATTCCTCCTCAATAACAAGTTTCGATCTTCTAGAGGAGCCCTTAGCTTTTTTCTTTGTCGTGTCTCTACCTTCTGGGCGTACAAAAGAAGGAACTGATGAGCATGAGATATCACCTTCCCCGCTACTCTTCCTTTTACTTCCACTACTTTGAGATGCACCAGATCCAACCATATATTTTGGTTCATTACGAACCAACTTCCATTCTTCAAGCAAAGCAAAGTTTTTTTTAGTTTCTTCAACAAACAAATCTTGAGCTCTTGCTATGTAGTTGTCGTCTGACCAACCGCTACGCCTCTCTGCTAATGCTTTTCTGTATACACCAACCCACTTACCAATTTTTTTGTTGAGATCACTGTAATGGCTTTTACATTGTTGTTGACTCCTATGAGGGCCAGTTGTTGAATGCTCATTCAAGTAAGCAACAGTTTTACCCCAAAAAGTGTCACCCTTTTGGCCACTACCCAATTCACTATCATTACTGAAGTGAAAATAACTAGTTAAAAGTAGTTTGTTTTGCTCGACACTCCAAACCGAATAACTAGATTTAGAAGTATTTTTCTGTGTTTGGGGCAAAAAACTATGTGGTGTGTCATCACCAGCACTTCCAAGAGATATTTGAGTGGAAAACTCGGGTACATCTGTTGATCCACTGCTAAAATGAGGAGTAACTTGCTCGGTGTTTTGATTATTGATATTGGAGAAACCACCATAATTACTTCCACCAAACTCAGTTTGTTGCCCATATTCCATATAAGGGAAATTATAAGGATATTGCATACCAAAATTAGATGGCATCATATACGGCATCTGAAAATTGGATGGCATGTTTTGAAGATTTTCAGGACGTTGATTATTGGAATTTTGAGGTTGGTTAGGAAACATATAAGTTGGGGGACGATTAAAATAAGAAGTTGGAGGAATTTTGAAAGAGAGCAAAGAAGTTGGAGGAATTTTGAAAGAGAGCAAAGAAGTTGGAGGAAGAAAGAAATTTTGGAGAAAATACTTAAAAAATTTTTGTGTCCAAATGAAGCAAAGTTGGTCTCTATTTATAGATCTCGAAAAAAGAAAATTAATGGTGAATTTTTTTTAAATTTGATCAATTTATTTGTAAAAAATACCATTTAAAAAGAGGGTGGAAAAGAAAAATGCATCAACCAACACGAAGCCGCCACATGTCGCGATTGCACCTCACCTCCTTTGTGTTTTCTCCCGCGGATAAATGAGCACTCCAGCAGCAAACAATTGCTTTTACAATGACACATGGCGCGATTTGATTGCTTTTCACTACAATAATTCTAGATTTATTGAATAATTCCCTCCAAAAGCCACATCACTTCACCTTTACAATTATTCTTTGCTGGAGCAAATAATTCACCCAATTATACACTATTGGAGATGGTCTAAGGTATATACCTGTTAGGACAGTGTTGAGTAGAAGAACACCCTACATGAAAATATTATCAAAGTCAGAAGCAGTCTAAAGCAACTTTGAAGGACATTTCCTAGAAATATAGGATCAAGATCCTTAATGCTGGCCATTAATTAGACCAAACAGTCCTCTATCAACCCATTTCTTTTCCCCCTTCAAATTTAAGCATTTTTTACGGATAGTCTTGATTGGAGAGAAGAGAATGTATACATTGTTTCTAGAATAATGAGATGCAGCATAACTATTGTTTGTACATATGCAAACAGGTCAGCCAAAATGTGGAATGTCTCGTTCCCCTCAATCCAAACAAGCCCTAAAAGAATTTCTTGGGGTAAATTCACATTAGGGACATGAAAAGAAGGAATTAGACCCAAAAAAAAAAACAAATCCACGAAAATGTTAAAACAATGTCTCTCATGGTGGAAAAAGATGAGGACCAGAAACACAGAAAACCATATACAAGATAATTCAACCAAATCAAACAATAGATAACGGAAAAGCATTTAGCTCACAATTATGTAAGAACACAAATGATGAATTGACCTGCACTGTCCATCTTGACTAGACTTGATGGAACCTTGATACCCTCTGGTACTGAGAAAGCCAGACCCATGGCTTGACCAGACCCATGATAAGGATCAGAAATAGTCAGTTACATAAGTGATGAATTGTACATGACATCCAATATATTAAGGGCCTGTTCGTTTGTTTTCTAAAAACCAAGAAATGGAAATGGAAATGGTGAAAATCTCAAAACTCACCATTTCCTCCATTTTCATCCCTAAAACTCACCCACAACATCCAATAAAATATTATTTCCATCCAACAACTCATCCACATCATCTAATAAAATATGATTTTCATCTAACCACCCATCCATCACATCTAATAAAATATTATTTTCATCTAACAACTCATCCATCACATCTAATAAAATATTATTTTCATCCAAACATCACTCAACTCATCTCTTCTCATCATTTCAAATCACCCACATCATCCAATAAAATATTATAACAATTCACCTCATCTCATTAACATTTCATTTCTTCATTTTCATCCCAAAAAGTTATGAAAACACTTTTCTTAATCTTTCTTCACATCACCCAATAATACAATGACAACTCATCTCATCTCATTTCATTTCTTATTTTTAAGAATGAACCGAACAAAAGAAAACAAGAAACTACAGGAAATAGGTTTCTTATAATTCATTTCCTTATTTTTTTTCGCCAACCGAACACTCCAAAACTAGTTTTCTTAAAAAATCACAAACATCATCCAATAATAAGGTGACAACTAACATCATTTCAATTTCATTTCTTTGATTTCCTTCTTTTTCAGCCGACCAAACACTCCAAAAACAATTCTTCATTTTAATAGTTTTCCATTTCTTTGATTTCCCTCTTTTTTTTAGGCAAACGAACAGGCCCTAAAAGAACGTAGTAATAAGAAATTGAACTTTCGTCTGCTCAAACCCAAGACATCTAGCACTTAATCAAATCAAACACAGAGAAGAACCAACAAACTCATGCAACTCATCCCCGTTACCCACCAACTGCTAAGTATTCCTGTACATCCTTCTCAGGCATTTCATCAAATACCCTAAGTGCAAAGTCAAAAGACCACATTTTGCAAGAATTACATAAGGAGGTTTCTGATGGGTTTCCAATAGTTTCCGTATTGAGTTTGGCGCAGTTGAAGAGATTCAAGGAGATGTAGAAAATGATAGGGATATACAGAGGCGGGGACGATATTTGTTTGAGATGAAAGATTTGAGAAGAAATATAACATTAAATTCTTTTCAGATAAACAGGGTTGAAATCGTACCTCCTGACGGTCTCGAGGTCGTCGGAGCCCGTTATCGGGACCTGGTACGGAAAGGTCGTCGGAGCCCGTTGAAATCGTACCATCCCGTCGCCGTCGAAGAAGTGCTGGCCCACGACGGGTTCAAACAGGGGGTTGGCGCCGTTGCGGACGTAGACGCCGACTATGAAAGGGAGATGCGGCCGGCGACGGGGAGGAGGGAAACTCAAGGTTTGGAAGAGGGGGATGAAGATTTTGAGGGAGTTTTTTGATATGTAAGGGGGAAATTTTTGGAGCCGTGGGGTTTCAAAATTTGAAGCCGCGAAAATAAAATTTAAGATTTTTTTTTCCGTCTAGGAAGCTATCTTGACGGAAATTCTCGTTTAGGACACAAATAATTATAAATAGTTAATAAAATCTGTCTAGTATACTATTCTAGACGGAAATTCCATCATATAACATTCTAGACAGATTTATTCCGTCTAGTATAGACGAAAAAAATTCCGTCTAGGATGCACAGATTTCTACTGGTGGTAGGTAGCTTTGATCATCCCGTTATTCTACAACTTCTTAGTCTTGAATAACAATTAGAAAAACTATGAACTCTTCAGTCTAAAAATTAAATTTATTAATATCATAAACTAAATTCAACGATGAAAGGTGTCATACTATGGACAAGCTGTCTCGGGTCGACGGAGCCATAGCCCAACTGCTTGTTTCCTTGCATGAGTTCAAATGGGTTTCCAGGAATCATAGATATGAACAATTTAAAGGGGGAAAAAATTTGAAAACTCAAAAGCAAATATTCCATGATATTTGAAAGGGGTCTAGGGTAGTGCGAGCATCTAATTATGTGAGAGCGTTGATTCTCTATTGCTGATATCTTAATTACTCTCTAAAAGAACTTTTACGAAAATAAACATGTACGACTGCTTAGAAAGATAAACCATGAATCAAAATTTTTGGGAGGAGCAATAACATGAGTACTGTGTGATGTTTTTGTTGAAGGTTAAATCTATAGCTGGTTTCTCAAATCATTATAACGGGAGTATTAATTAATAGGTAGTACTGGAGGTTGATAGGTTAATATGGAATTTAATAGGTTATTGATGGAGATTAATCGATAGAATTAAGGGGTATTAGAAAGTGGAGATCATGAGATTTAATAAGATTGGAGGTTATGAGAAGAATTTGAAGGGATAGAATTTATGCATGTATGTGTTTGATTTGAAAGGGTATAGTTTATGCATGCATGCAAGCCTTTTATAAATGCATGCATTTGTTTTGTGGATGCATGCACGTATGAGTTTTTGGGGGCTTTTTCAGAATAAAATATTTTAACGAGCTAGGGGGTATACTTTTTGCATACATGTATATGTATGCATGTGTTTGATTTGAAAGAGTATAGTTTGTGCATGCATGCGTGTTTGATGAATACGTACTTGTATTTTATGGATGCAAGTATGAGTTTTATAGGGTATTTTTGAAAGAAAATATTTTAACATCCTACACCATTTTTAATAGTATATAGTATAAGATTAGATAGATTAGATAGTGCATAAATAACAGTGCATAAATAACAAACTGTGGTACTATTACCTTTGTCTGCTCAATTGTCACGAAATTTTGGAGTAAAATTGTCTATGTTGCGTCTTCCAATATTGTTCACTGTAAATATTCTCTTAAAACACTTGGCATAGTTGGTAGACAAGCAGCCTACTTAAAAATGAATCATGAATGCCTTTGATACCTAGGTTTCAAATTCATATCGAAAATCCTTCTTTTGGGTTAATTGCAAAGAAACCCCCTATAGTATCAACCAATCGCGAATAGACCCTCTTATAGTTCCATTGTGCAAATATACCATTGACTGATTTTTTTGACTCTAAATCATTAAAAAAATTTGACGATGCACGTAGAGTCCCTATAGTTCCATTGGTGAGGGAACACTCCTGATTGCTAAATCTTGTTCGGTTAATTAAACATAAATTATCTATTGTTTCACAAACTTTATAGTTAAACGATCCTTGTCTTAGATTGTTGCACTTAAATGACCCCAGAATGCCATGTGACATGTCACACAAGAATATTCCAGAAAAATTCTAACGTTTTAATAACATTACAAATTTCAAAATGCACCAACTTGCTATATTTAGAGACTTTAGGGTATTTAGGTGCCTCAATTTACAACCTGGGCCATTCAAGTACAAAGTTGAAGAAACAACTGGACATTAAAGTGCAATCAACCACTTCTTTTTAGAACGAGGGGGCTATTCGCAATTAACCCTTTTGTGTTGTGGTCACAGACATATTTCGACTTTGCCGATCGGGTCGACCCACAATGAACCCGTTTAAAACAGTACCTTGCTCGCAAGCCCGAGTGACCCGATCACAACCCTGCTCCTACGATTTTAAGAGGCATCGCCTAAATCCCTACTCGATTTTTGGCGGGATTTCTCTCCTCTTTCCCCCCAAATTCTCCTCTTCTCTCTCTTCTCTCTGTCTCCCCCAAGAATCAACCTTCATCTCTTTAATCCCCAATGTCAGATTCTAGGGTTTACACCGAGCCTCGTCGGAATCCATCGGCGTCAGGAGCTGGAATCATATCGAGGATCCGACTCGAGAATTTTATGTGCCATAGCAGCCTCCACATCGAGTTCGACGACTGGGTTAACTTCATCACTGGACAGAACGGGAGTACGCGCTCTATTGGAAACCCTAACCCTAACGATTCTTTCTTTTGTTGAGATTGCTTTGTTTTTCTTTTGCGTTAGGTGGCAAGAGCGCAATATTGACTGCGCTTTGCGTTGCGTTTGGTTGTCGGGCTAGAGGAACGCAAAGGGCAGCTACTCTCAAGGATTTCATCAAAACTGGCTGCAGGTAAGTTTCAATTTGCTATATTTAGAGTTCAAAGCGAGAAAAAATGTAGCTTTTTTTTTACTTGCTTAGTTGAATCCAGCGTGTACTTGTTTGGTTACATGAGAAAGATGAGAGGAAGTAAGATAGGGGAAAATCAGGAAATGGAGTAAATTGCAATTATAAAGTGAAGTTGCTATTTTTATTTTATTTTTTAAATTCCTATGACAACTCAAGGCTTTCTGAATTCAGTAAATTCCTATAATTTTTTTGTCAAACGCTCAACGGAGATGTTATTATTGGATTTTTTTCTATCATCTTTTCACACTTGATGCTGCTTCTCATGCTGATGGAGGCAATATGTTTTTCCTCCTCATTTTACACAATGATATTGACAGGTAGGTGAATAAGGGAAGCCAACTTCTTGTCAATGTGAACCTTTGTTGTGATACAGTTGGCTAGTATTTGAGTTCTCACTATAATAGGAGTCATAAATCGATTTTAACTAATAGTTCAAGTAACTTCACTCCAGATATATTTGGTATTGGCCCTTAGACATAGTGCCTTGTCAGCCCTCAAAATTTCCAGGTTAGCTTTCTTGTCGAGAGTATAAATGTTTGACTTTGAAGCATGGAAGGTCAGATTCTCACTTGGAAGCAGAGAAAGCTTCAGTTCCTTTTTAAATTATCACTAGCTTTGTCACGGGAAAGACCCTTTCAACTGCAAATGGTGAAGATAATCCTCTTTGCCGGAGTTTCGCATTATAGGCATCAGATTGTTGAAGATTGCTTGTATCTTATTTCATCTTTTACAAGTTGGTGCATACAGTCATCGATGAGATGTGCTATAAAGCCTACCATCATTCTAAATGGATGAGGAGACTTGTCTTATCTTACCCATATATCTTTGCTTCATTATTAATGTTTCATTCTGTGATTGTGCTAATTCTAAAAGAAAAAGGATTTCTCAGAAATTCTAAAGTTTTTAGTTGGTGCTAGTAGAGTGAAAGTTCATGTGAAGGCATATATTGACATCCATTCCTCATTGGATAAGCACTGGAACATTTTGGGAAGCTTTGACTTTGGAACAATCCTCCTTATCTCATTGGTTTCTAGCCTGCTAACAACCTAAAAAAATTGGTGGCTGCCCATGTTGGTTGATAACATCTGTAAGTAGATTAGTATCTTGATACTCGGCCTATCCTGTTTGTTTATTTATGTTAGCATAAAATAAATAAATATGTAAATAATAAATTGGAATTGTGTTGTAGTAATTAAAAAATGTCATGATATAAGAATGCTAATTAACATGAAAAGACAAATGTCATGCCATACAAATAAATATGACCTCAAACTCAGTACTAAAACATACAATTGTAGCAAATAAACCCACAATAACTAGAAACGTTAACAGATGAGTAAATAACTAAGGCTAGGCTAGAGTTTTAAACTATAAAGGTATGGAGATAAAACAATAATTGGTCAAACATTAAACTTATGTTGGCTAACACAGGAACATATTGCTTGTGAAATTTTGCATATATTCACCACATCTAAGCTTCATCAGTAATGCGAAGAATTTGTTACTTAGTTGCCTTTGCAAATGTTGGAAAATTTTGATTAATTTAATTCTTAAAGCTAGCATACTAAAAATTTGCTACTCAACCTGATATTGCCAAAATTCCCAGTATCAACACCTAGCAAGCTGTTGATAATGATGAAGTATTGAGATTTTGAACCTTACTTTGATTGCGTGGAAGTTACTTGGTTTTTTTCGACGAAAAGGATGAGGAGCTGACTTAAAAGAACCCCTCAGCCATGCCCACATTGTCCAAAAGGTTGTTTTACAGAAAATATGAAAGTTATCGCCCTAACTCCAAAGAGATAGCTATGACATCCAGTTCAACAAAAAGCCGAAAACATCCATCCTTTAACTCTCCCCAAAAATCTATAAAAGGCATGTAACATCAGATACCACAATACTAAAAAACATCAACTACAAAAAATATATACATCAAAGTACCATAGTTTCTTGATCCCTCAATTTCCCACATCTTCGTGCTATATTGCTTCGCCAGCTTATTTAGTCCTCCCACCATTTGCCTCATTGTTCAGCTCATGAGTGATCCTCCTTCTACATCTTGTGTAGGACAAATTAGACCTGAAACGAGTTAGAACATTGCTAACTTAAAGGATAAAAAGTGGGACTTTTCCAAATCATTGTCCGAATCTCTAAGTAATGCAAACATTTACTATGAAAATTATTCTATTCATTCCATGCCAAATACTCCATAGTGAAGGAAACATAGTTGCACCTAATGGATTCTACTTTGCGAGGGAATCTTCTGCAATCTCCACACAGACCATGAGTCACTCACATCAATAGGTTTTTCCTGCAATTGAAAGCTATATAACAGAGAATTCCATGTAGATGGAACATAACTACAATGCAGAAATAAATGATTATGACTTTTTTCTTCCCTGTCACACATAACACATTTGTCTTCTTCAATCATAGAAACATGGAGCATCAAATCCGATCAACGAGCGGCTGAGATTAACCCGAGAATTGGGTTGTTCTTGAACAGGCTCAGAATTGGACTCAAATTGGGCTAGAATTCTAACTAAGTATTTCAAAATAATTAGTGGGCTTTTGAGAAACCCTAGCTTGATTGGGCTGAGAAGAAACACTAACAAATTGAGATTCATATCCAAACCATTTTCCAAAGATTTCTTGGGCTTTTCCATATCAATAGTTACTCAAAGATTAGGCCATAGAAAAATGAAACCCTTGATTGAAATCCCCCCACCCCAAAAAAAAAACGAAGAAAATGATCCGGAGACGCCATGAAGTTGTACCTCGCGATCGTAAATTCTAAATTGTGATATGAAGATTCGAAGAGAATTGAAACCCTAGAATTGCTCTTAATCGCTTCTTGATCCTTCCGCAAATATAAATGAAATTGTTGTGTTAATACAACACGAAACTTTCATTTCCCCATAGTTACTTGGTTGTTTGGTTATAGGAAAATGTTTTATTGGGTATTCATGTATTTTGGACCATATTCATACATTCAATAAGAATGCGGACATAAACTCTCATCATTTACTGCATATTTCTTTGATCCTTAATCAAAATTAAGTATCATGTATTGAATATCATAGTTGTGAATGGTAGAAACAGAAGAGAATCATCTCTACATCTTATAAGTTAAATGTTTAAAAAACCTAATATTATAAAAGTATTGTGCTAAATAAGCAAGTTATGATACAGAGGAGGAAGAGGATAAAGGGGAGCAACACAAAAGAAAGAAGATATGTAGATCTAATATCCTGCTAAGCCTGCAACTTTTGAAGCAATAATTTAAAATGTGCGTAGCTTAAAAAAATACTAGATTTGCATGAAAACGATGATAAAAGGAGGAAGGTATTAGGGAGTAGCAAGCAATGCTCAATATTTTGCTACTGTCCATCGACCAATTGTAAAAGGAAAAGCAAAAAAGGAAGATGAATGATCGACTACTGTTGTTGGGCACACAAGTGATCCCTTATTATCCACGACATAGGAAGAGAAAAGTAGACTTCGAGGGCGTATATCAAAGATAAAAAAGGGAAAACATGCTTATTGCGACTTTATCCAATATCAAACACCTGAGCATGCCTGGATCTTAGGTGGATTTGTACTTTTGAGCTTGATCTAACATGTTAAAAAATTGTAGTCTTTTTAATATAATTTTTTTACATTGCATAGGTGCTGCTAGTGTATCTAAGCTTAAATGTGCAAGCCAGCTCTGCCATGGACTGAATGACACATTGATACCATTATTTTAAATATTCCTGACATGGTTTGATATATTCTTTTACAGGGCTTGCCGCAACCGATATGGTCTTTAAATATTCTTTACCGCTTTTGGCTATTTTGAGCAATATATCTTCGATATGACTAATATATCAACCGATATGTTAGCCGATGTATCCTTTTATATGGCTTATCGCACAGCAGTATACATTGCTTCGCAATTTTTGGGCGAGATATCATGATTTTCCCATTATATCAAATGACATTTTGGCCTAAAAATCGAAAGAAATGTTGCAACATTGGTTTGTACTTTTTTTTTTATTTTACAAGGTTGATTAGTGACTCTAAACATATATTATTTATATTTTATATGCTTAGATTTTATTAAGTTTGTTTGAATCACGCTATACTATATAGTTACAGTATATATGCAAACATTCGTCATGGCATACCAATATTTACCACATATCCCCGACATTTCTCTGATATCCGACATCTTATATGAATTTTGGTCGTCCGATATTGTTCCAGTATCCGATATTTAAAACCTTGATTGGTACCACTAGGTCATAACGGGATGCATAAGTTTTTACCACTGCTGAGTAGATGCTTAGACCAGCTATGAGAACATTGTGATAGAGACCCTTAGTGTGCAAAATTTAGTTCATGATTTGAGCTTTTCACTATCAACAAATAACACTTACTATTTTCACATGGACTTTGTACAATGAAGGCTCATATGTTTACACATTTCTCGTATACAAAAGGGCGTAGGATCTTGCTTCTTGTAGATTGGCTTTCAATATTTTATTTATTTTTATTTTCCGTTATTTCTTTCCATCTCATAGGAGTTATGTTTCTATTTCTAGTGTTTAGTTTTGGTAGCTTATTTAGTTTCAATTCTTTTGATTCATAATGTAGCAAGTCTTGTTTGCTTGCTCACAAGACCTGTTGTCTTCTAGGAAGAATAGCAGCAAGCTTTTCAATATTTATATACCTATGTTCCAAATTATTATTCAATTAGCCTTATTATTTATTCATTTTTACTTTTGTTGTATCATGGAAAATGTGATTACTGTATCATTAAAAGTAATGATTGTTAATTAAGGTTCTAATTATGTGAAAGATCTTTTTTTTGGTAGCAAGTCTTATGAACTGTTTCTTATTTGTTCTTATTATTTTTATTTTGTAGTTATTCTTCAGTTACTGTGGAAATCAAAAATCAAGGTGAAGATGCTTTCAAGCATGAGACATATGGTGATTTAATAATTATAGAACGCAGGATTACAGAGTCAACTAATTCCATTGTTTTAAAGGACAGACAAGGTTATTAATGATTCTTTGCTTTTCAAGCTGTTCCATTGTACATTCTATTTATACTTTGGTAGTTTGTTAATTGAATTTGCAATTACGAGCCATAGTAAGGACAGAGCTAGGTGTTTTTAGGGTGGGTACACAAAATTATAAATTACCTATAATGTGATCCAGAAAGCGAATCTATTACAAGAAGAGGAAAAACAATAAGGATAGAAAAAACCAGAAAAAAGAGGAACAAGTAAAGAAATGTACATGAAAAAAGATCATAAAGGATGACTGGAGAAAACAGAAGAAAAGTCATCTTTTCATCCTGCTATTGTTGAACTTCTAATAAAAATTATATTTGTTAATCGGTTTATATCCCAACAGTTTTTATTTCTTTACCTATTACCACCACAGACTAAACGAAAATGAGTATCAGGTGGGACTCCCAATGATCTACCCACTTTCAAGAAAATTCCTCAAAATATTTTTATTGAAGCATGTCAAAATGCATGCTATTGTAGTTTCTGTAGGTGCCTCATACTCACAGATCACAAATGAACATGTCATAGTAGCCAGCCATACAATGTATCTAATAAGGGAGTACCAAACATGACAATATTAAATTTTGGGACAATAATAAGTTTGGTGGAAGCCAGATTAGTATAAGGTAAACTAAAATAAACTTGCGTGAGACATCATATTTCTTTTCTCTAGGAATTAAATACTAGATATGTCTAGATACAAATATGTAAGAGCTATTAAATTTTCTTTTCATAACATTGATGTCAACCAAAACAATATAATGCAAGGAAAATGAAAAAATTATCAAGGTCAAAGTAAGAGACCATGGACCTCTGTCTAATAGAACAAATATGATCAACAGAGAAAGTCTTGCTCTTTAGCATAATTTTCTTGATTCTATATGTTAATGACTTTCTTACTACAGGATAATTATAAAGTTAAACACCAGTAGTAAAACATCTCAATCTACTATTTCGAAGTTTTAATATTTGCTAAAGTTATCTTCTGAAGCATACATCTTTGTACTGCATCACATGAACAATTATTCTGGGGGTGAACTTGATACAACTTGTAGCTTGATAGGTCACTCTTTTGACTATTACCAATTTACTCAACTTCATGCTTTGATTATTATTGATCTGGTAATCTTTGGTGATATTGATGTATCTGCAAGAATAAGATGGAAATAGTATTTCCTCTTTGAGTTGTGTATAATTTTATGCTCCTTGTGCACTTTTGTAGCACATCTCTTGTGAAGTCTTCATCTTTCTACTTTTTTCTTTTTCGTATATAAAATCATTTGTATTACTGTTTTGATAGGAAGAAAGGTTTCTCAACGGAGAGATGAACTTCGTGAGCTTGTGGAACATTTCAATGTAAGTATTTTGTTATTACATTTGCCTTAATGTACTCCAAGGCTAGGGTTTTTATTTTTTATGTGTTGTCCTTCTTTGATTAATTATTGTTGTAATTGCTTTAGATACATTTAACTTATTCTGATGTTATGGTTGCATCACAAGTAGTTGCATCGCACAAAAAGATTCTTCTCATTAATTTCCTTTCTTTGTTCATCTTCAAAAAAGGAACTAGGATAAGTATGGAGGTGTAGCTGTGAATACTAGAAGTACTGAACTTGTTCATTGGATAAATGCCTAAGCAATTTTTTCCTAATGCAGAAATTACCCTTCGATTATATAGCTTTTGTTAGTTATTTTATATTGGCTTTTTGTGAACTTTTCTTATTGTTCTTGCAATTATGGCATACAAAGACAAGTTTCTTTGACTCCTTAAAATTTAGAAGTGGATCCTCTTTCATCTTTTAATGCTATTTGTTAGTTTTTCTAGATCTCTGATCACATGTATGTTTTCTTAAGTTTGTAACTGTTTGGAATACACATGCACAGTGAGGGAGGGCAACAAACGCAAGTTAAACATTTTTAAAGGCTATCATGACAGTACATATAGCCTTATGCTTCTGAGAACTATTAAGGGATACGTCGACCAAGTTCATGTTGAACTTTTCATCATAGCTAAGTATCTTTCAGAGTTAAAATATCCTTGGGATAAAGGCAGAAATAATTTTAATCAGATGTAAGTTAGTAATATTCTTTTGATGTTTATATCTATCCTTCTATTGATTGTACCTTTTGACTGTGGAGTGTCCTTCGATAATAGTTGGGTTTTTTGGATATATCTCTAACTAAATTCTTATTGGAATATTTGTCCCTTAAAAAACACTTGTTTTTATAATAGTATCATCAGATATGAGGCTTACTTGTTATTCCTTCCTCCAGCAAATATCCATCTTTTCAACAAGGATTTTTCTTTTTTCTGTAACTATTAGTAGTACTTTTACTACAAGAATCCCTTATTCTTTCTTTTCCAACAATCATTTCCCCTTTGCTTCATCACCCACATCTAGAAATGCAAAATGGTTAGGATATATCCGAACCGATTGAATCTATATCCGAATGTGATGCAGATCTGGATACTAAATGCAGATTTGGTTGCATACGGATTCGGATATCCTTTTATGATTTAAACCGGATACGGATCTGGTCATGTTATTTAGTACAAAATGGAAGGTGGTCCATATATTTGGGTACTCATAAAGGTGAATGGATTTTTTCAATTTAACCTCTTGCTTTCTTACAAACCCACATGACAATGTTTAGTTTAATAATTGCTAGTCAAAAGCATACTTAATAGAGCATCGTTCCCAAGTTAAAAAACCAAGTTCTTGAATCCCAAACCTAAAAGTAAAATAAAATAGACCTAATTCCTTTGATAGGACTACAATATTTGTTAATGCATTATCCATCTCACTTTATAAAATTCATAGTAGATGATTGTTAGTCTATAAATTGCTTCTAGGAATATTAAAGCTGAATTGTTAAACGATTAAGGATAAAAAGTAATTGGTGTTAATAACAAAGTTATGTTTATAAATATTTGATACGAGAGTTGATTTTCATAGTTTATTATATCTTGTAATTTTAAAGTCATTTTTTATCTCTTTGGTGCAAAATACATCAATTAATATACAAATTTCTCTTATATACGATGCATATCTGTTTCCCAATATTTAATTCACATTCGCAACTATTATCTATTTTCGTTACACTAATATCCGAATTGTATCCATTTTCATTTTTTGTTGTGGATATGGACATTGCTCCTTACCGAAGGAAAACTGTATCTGTATCCATATCCTTTTTGAGAAAGTGAATACAGATATGTTAAGTGTCATATCCGAACTGCATCTGATCCATTTGCACCCCTACCCACGTGCCCATTTAGAGTCTCCCCAACTCCACTCTACCGCTATCATTAGGGGTGCTAAACTGTATTTGTATCCGAGGAAATATCCGTAACTGTATCCGTTAGGATGCAACCGTATCCGTTAGGATGCAGATATGGTTACTCAAATATATAACCGATAGGATATGGTTACAGATATGGTTTTGTAGTGGAATATCTGAAACCATATCCGAAATATCGGAATATATATTAGTCATTTTATTACAATGGTTTTAGTCTTTAGATTATTTGTATGAGATTAAATTTGACAATCAAGATATCTAATCTTATCTTTCCAGGTATAATGAACATATTACTGAACTCTTTGGTATCACATGAACTATATTTTTTTCTACAAATATCTAGTTTTCTCATATCCGTTTTATATCCGCATGCATATCCGCTTACTTATCCGCATGTATATCAGTATCCGTATTCGATTGTAGCGGATATGGATATGAATTTTCCTTACCGAGGTATCTCTGTATTCGTATCCGAAATGAGTAGACGGATATGGATGTAAACATCATATCCGAGCCGTATCCGGACCGAATGCATCCCTAGCTATCATCCCTCAATATATTTTCGTATCCCAAAATTTTATATAACCACGTATAAAACATCTTTATTTTATCAACTTTTTCACTTGTCATTACCATGTCATGAATGGTACTATATCCCCTCCTATCTCAAACCAAAGGAATCAAAACATACTTTAGGAGGTGTTTGTTGTTGCTCATGCTTTGCCACTTTTAAAGCCATGCCACTTGGTTAGTAAATTTAGATGTTTGGTAATCAATGTAAGAAGGTTTTTTTTAATTAAAGTAGAAGTGAAAAACTACTTTAGATTATGTTTTGATTCCCTTTTCTAAACAGGAATCAATACATACTTCAGGCGTTGTTTGTTGTTGCTCATAAAACATGGTTTGCCGCTTTTAAATTAAATACGTACTTGGTGAGTAAATTTGAATGTTTGGTAATCAATGTAGCTGAATAACAGAAGTGGAAAACTACATTTTGAGGAAGTTAGATTTTGTAGTTGATCTTAACTAAGAGGCTAAATCTACCCAATTTTTCCCACTTATGTCTTGCATGATATGACATGCAATCTATTTTTAACCGAATTCTCAAAGTTTTCATTTTTTACACTTGATAGTTACCATGAATCTCATTCATACTTTGACCTCTCAAATATTCATTCTTATCAAACCTCCTTCAAACAAATCTATGACAAATACTTATATTTAGTGATAAATATTTTTAAGTTTAATCATGCCAAGCTCCTAAATTTTGTAAAAAATGTTTCCTAAAAGACGATTTTAGATTAGTCCTTCGAAACTGGACTTTTCGATGAGCAACATCTATGCCTAACTCACCCTTAATGATCTTAAGTTGTCAGAAATGATTTAACTCTAAGATATGCTTTGTTCAATATGTTTACAATAACAATTATGATGGTGTATACACTAAAAGATAATAAGATATGATAAGAAATGAGTGCATTTGTAGTAAATTAGAGGATAAGATGAGAGAGAAGCAACTAAGGTGGTTTGGTCATGTACAACTGAGATCTCTTAGTGCACTGGTTAGAAAAAAATGATAATATTAATAGTTAATAGTGGTAAAGAGGTCTAGAGGTAGACCTAAGAGTTGGAAGAAGTTAAGAAGAATATGTAATGGTTAACTTAGCAGAGGAGATGACCAAAATACAACAAAATGGAAGAACATGATCCATGTAGCTGACCTTAATCATTTGGATAAAAAATTTGTTGTTGTATTTTACCTAACACAATTTGGTTGTCTTTTTTCTTCTTTCACCTGCCAACTTGGTTTTCGCATCTCTCCCTCACGCTTATAAATTTGTTTTTTGCACAATTGAACTGCACAGTCTTTTTCTGTGTATATCTCCTAAACTGAACCAACTCCAATAGCTTTTTCTTTGCTGAAGATCCTACTTAAATGCTGATTTAAGCCGCCTTTCCTTTTTCTTATGGATGTAGCATCTTTGCACATGCTCATGTGCTACAAGCACCACTGAGAAGAGATGTTGAGATAAGATAATTGTAGGAATGCTCATCTTTATTGCACTACACTGCTAAAACTACTGATACTATATTCCTTTTTTTTTTGGAGAAGCCTGATACTATATTCTCATCCATTATATTCTCATCTATGTAATTTTAGTTATTTGTCTTTAGTTAGGTCTGTCCATTGAGCATTTTTTTTCCTGACATGACCTATTATCATTTGCAGATTGATGTTGAAAATCCATGTGTGATTATGACTCAGGATAAGAGCAGAGAATTTTTACATTCTGGAAATGATAAAGATAAATTTAAGGTAGAGTTTGTCAATGGGTTTTATTTTTGTGGCTCTACTATCTGTTAACTTGTTCATTCAGTCAATATTTTATGCACAATGTTCAAATATACTCTAGAAGAAATCATTTGCTGCAAATAATGTTGAGATGCCAGTGATCAATGTTTTTTCATTTGCTGCAAATAATGTTGAGATGCCAGTGATCAATGTTTTTTACACTCTCGATGTTCATTTTATGTGTTTACTTTTCCTCCATTTTGCAGTTCTTTTTCAAGGCTACCCTTCTCCAACAAGTTAGTGAGCTACTTCAAAGTATCAGAAATCAGCTGGATGCTGCAGACGCAATTGTGGATGAACTTGAATCATCAATAAGGCCTATAACTAAGGAACTAAATGAACTGCGTGAGAAGATAAAGAACATGGAACATGTTGAAGAAATTTCTCTTGAATTGCAAAATTTGAAGAAAAAACTGGCCTGGTCATGGGTATACTGTGTTGATGGGCAAATCCAAGAACAGAAGACTAGGATAGAAAAGCTGAAAGAGCGTGTTCCCACTTGTCAAGCCAGAATTGACAAATACTTGGTATGCAATAATGATACTGCACTTGTATTTCATTATTCTCATTGATACTTGGATATGGTGATCTTTCTGCATATCTTGGATGTGGATTATCATTTGATTTACTTGTTAGATAAAAGGTGGTTGCATTGTGATCTTCTATTTCAAGATATAAGAAAACTTGAAAATGCAAAGGCTTTCTTTTTCTCATTCTCAACATATGTTTCCTCGTTCGCATCATTGCATCTGGTACTACAAAAAGACCATAGGATTAGGTTTCCTCAGGCATACTTATTTTCTATTTGCTTGGAAAAGATACGCATAGAGGTTTCTCCTGTCTAAGATGTCATATTGGCTGGAAACAGATGCCTAGTGCAGTGATGAAGTTCAGTGATATGAAGCTTATTCGATATGGAAAGCTTCCAGATAGTGTTATGATGGAGATTGTTATATGGGTCAACAATGGTTCACAGTGGTTATCACATTTCAAAGCCATAGAATTCTAATGATATAAGCTAATTTTTTGCATAAATACTTCAATCATACTAGATTACATGTAGTATTTACATTGTGATATATTTAGCATTGTACTAGATTTGCACAAGATATGCTTCTTATGCTTTGATAAAAAACAAGTTATCTCCAAGAAGAATACAATATCCATTAGTGGCTGTGGTTCTCTTATTACTTGATAAACCAATATGCATTTATATAATCCTCAATATGCCTTTGTGAATTTGAACAATAATGAACTGGTACGACTTAATGAGATCTTAAGGCGAAGCACAACATCCCATTGACTAATTCATGGAACATTAAGGAGTTTGCCAATTCCCCTGTGTGCTTATGAGATATTGGGTTTCATTATCAGAATATTCTTTTAGCTTTTCACATATTTGTCTAGGTGCACCTTAATTATATACACCTAATCACATCCAACCATTGGTTCTAGGAGGAAACAAAATAGCATCCCATCAATCATACTGATGTAGCGCGCGGATGTTCTTGACAAAATACCCCTTACCAAACAAACTGGAGTTTGCTAGGGCATGGGTGGGCTCATGATAAGGGAGAGATGTTCATAAATTTCTCAAGGTGTCCGAATCCATGCTAGATAAAATACTGATCAAATATTCAAAAAAATCTTCCTCCATCTTGGTGTCTCAGTTAGAATCATTGTCCCACAGTCCTAATTGCAACTGCCTCCAATCATTTTCGACTGTCCAGACATTTGGAAAAGTAACCTGTGTTAGGTCAAATATTATTATAGTTATTGTTTACATTGATATTTGTAATTTCATATCCTTTGTGATTCTCTATCTCTTTCTTCTTCCCTTTCTAATTCTCCTTTTTTCTCTTCTTCTCCTGTACCCCAAGCCTTCCCCTATGGGGAAGGAGACCGTTTAAAAGTGCACGAAAATGCATGACCGCCTGGGTGTCAGGTGCCAGGTGCCAGGTCTGGCACTCTGATTTTCTAAAACTTATTACTAGTTTTAAATTGCATGATACTCCTATATCATTGGATAAAATTGGACAACAAGAATTTTATGTAGGAAGAGAGAGCTTAAATGATGCGTGAAGTGTAAGGGTTCAGTGGGTATGAGTAAGAGTTTATAGAGAATTCTATAAGCTTTACAATTTGGAGGGGGAAAAAAGAAAAAGAAAAAGAAAAAGAAAGGAAATATCCATATTCTATTTTTCTATCAGTTTCATATGTGGCTGAAGTAACTCAGACTATCTTGTGTACGTTTCTTTGGGTCTTTCGGGTTTCAATCGGTTAATCTGTTGATAGAGATTGGATGAAGTTTGATCATCCCTAATGCTGCATACGAAATTTCTTAACTAATATAATGTGTGAATTATTGCTTTCTTGTACATGAATACTAGATAACCTGAAGATTTCATAAAACAAAAATCTAAAATTGCTTCTTATTAACTATTGAACTTGCTTAGTGAGTTCCAGTGATATCAAAGAATCAAGATTTGTAATACAATTATTTCAACAAAACAATTCAGTTTAAATGTTAGTTAAACTCGATGCAATAAAAATGTTTATCGAAATAAAATAATTTTACCCATGGGATATGGTTTATTTATTGGTTTAGACAGAATAATCCAATCAACTGCGAAACTCGATAATTACTTATTTCTTAATTGATTGCATATGTATGTTAGAACTTAGCAAGGAACAATCTTCAACTTTGATGTGTGGAATATTGATTTTAAAAAGTTTGATTGGTAAATGATAATTATTTTTTTCAATCATTATGTGAAATAAGTTAGAGTTGCTTATAAGCTTTTTATTTGTTGATTTTTTAAAAAAAAATTCTTCCTAATATAAAACTATTAAATCGAAGTTTGGTAATTCAAGTATAATGTAGTCTCCAATATTAGTTATTATTATCTAATAAAAATCAGTTATAATCTGATCAAATCGATGTGCTTAGAATCTGGTACAATGCAGGGATATGTGCTGCTTTTAGATTTGATATAGTATGTTTGTTTCCACTTAAGTTGTTGAATTTGGAGCCAACTTGAGGTATGTGCGTGTACATGTTCTCCAATTCTTCGAATCAGCAGTATTTGTTATTTTACCTTGAAAATTTGTTATCTTTATACGCTATAAGCCGTATCATTAGTATATAAATACTTAGAAACACATCTATGTTCCTGTTTATCATCTTTAAATGATATTATTTTTGTGATTAGACGAAGCTTTTTTTCTTCAGATCAGTGGGTCATCATGGCAAACTGGAACTTTAATTTGTATTATTTTCCATTATTGTAGCTTTCCTTCAAAATTATTTAGAATGTGCATGCTTCTTACTACCTTCCATTTCAGGAAGATGAGTGGTTTCTAATGTATTCAACTATTCATTGCAGAAGGGTGGTTATCAGTGTTCCTATTAATGACTCTTTTTTATGGTTTGTATATATTTTGTTTTTCAGGTCAAGGTTGGAGACTTAAAAGGAGTACTTCTTAGTAAGAAAACTCATATAAAATCTTTGATGGAAAAGACATCTGAAGTGAGAAGGATGAAGGATGACTTGCAGCAGAACCTATCCGTGGTACATATATACACAAGTTCAATATGATTTGGGCTTTAATAAAATGCAAATGTTATTTTCTATTTGGGTTCTTATATGGTGGAACCCTCTAGAAAGCTAAAGTTGCTTATTTATTTTTAATTGATACGTTACTTATTTTCTCTGTTAGTAGTCTACCTTTATTTGTTTTCCTTATTCTATATTCATCATGCTAGTTACTCTGTCTTTGCTATTTATTTGTGGGGTGGTTTCCTTTCATTTAAAAAGGAATCAACAAACTTTATTATTCTGTAATTTTGATGCATATTATAATTTGATCACTGAAGTTCCGTTACATTTGTGCATGACTTGTGTCAACTTGTCCTCTATGTGGCATTAATATATTGGGTGACTCCTTTATAATGAAAAATAATCAGAAGGGATAAGTCTTTTATTATTTATCTTCCTTTGTGTATATGAGTATATAGGCTTGCAGTCAGACTATGGTATGTTTGGATTTTCAGGTTATAAGATGTGGAAGCTGATCATCACAGTTAAAATATCACCTTTCAAATCCTTGACAATTTTGTATCATGTGTTAGGGATTCTTTATTCCTTTTTTTGTGTGCATACATGCACATATGCATTTATATGTGTATATGTGTGAATAAGGCTGAATTCTGGATGTACATTAAGAGATCGGATCACAAAAATGTATTCATCCACATGAGGTTAGAAATTGTTCCTGTTGAGAATAAAATGAGAGAATAGATTGAGATGGTTTAGTCATGTGCAACAAAGGCCAGTAGACTGACCAGTTAGGATAAGTAATAGGATTATAGTTAAGGAGTAGTAGGGGTAGGCCTAAGAGAACTTTACTGGAAGCAATTAATAAGGATATGCTGAGTGGTTTAGTCATGTGCAACAAAGGCCGCTAGATTGACTAGTTAGGAGAAGTAATATGATTATAGTTAAGGAGTAGTAGGGGTAGGCCTAAGAGAATTTTATTGGAAGCAATTAATAAGGATATGATAAAAGTTAACTTAACAGAGCTGAATGGATAAATTGGATTTATGTAGCTGGTCCCAAATATTAGGATAAAAGGCTTTATTTTTGTTGTATTCCCTATATCCACTTTTTTGTTTGTGCAGATTGCTTTTGTCTGTGCAAGTTCTTTTCATCTTTTGGTCTTTTTCATCCTATCCTCATTGTGTACATCTTCCATTACCATCTTACCATCCACCACCTTAATTTATTGATGCAATTTAATTGTGTACTGCATATGGTATTTAGGAATTGCCAATCTGCCTTCACTATTTATGTCACCTCTTTAATATTGCAAGCCAACAATGGCATATACTTAAACTACTGGAACTGCGATGTATGCACAGAAGTTCAACTTCTATATGATATGAAAATTAAAATATAGTATTAATCATGAACTTTGGAAGTAAATTTTTTTTGTCAAGTGTACCATGAGATTCAGGCATCAAATTTGTCCTTCTGCTGTCAAATATTCAAGGTACCAATCCACAGCCTAGTTCTTCTTAGAGCTCCTTCATTGCTTTATATATGCCTCAAGGCATGGATGACGGAGGGTAGGCTATGGTGAAAGGAAATAGAGGTGAAAACAAGAAAGTTATAATTTGAGCAATAGAAGAATTGAATGGTGGGATTGGAGCGTAAATATGGGGTGCTGTGGCAGAAGAAGAGTGAAGGAATGGGGGAGACGTTTATACAGCAATACAGGAGGTTGAGTGGTTTTGAGAGTAAAAGGGATGGGTAGAAATATGTAAATAGGAAAATAGTAGAAACAGTGAAGAATGTGGAGGAACAAGGCGGCCTTTTGCTTTTCCAACTCTGCAGAATCTCTAACATCGTGATTTTAAGATCCTGCATAAATAACAGTGGGATGATATCCCACCTCAGCACCTCTGCTTAAGATATTGCCTCTATAATTCTATATAAAAAACATTGCCTCTATATAGAAACATTCAAAGTTGTCCTTCCTACGTGGACTCGCAGTCAAACTAACATATGGTAGGATATAAAACTTACATACACATAAAATTTACAATTTCTTTTTAATCCTTCCTTGATCTGTTCTGAAAGTTCACCTCTTATAGGCAGTTTTATATTTTCTTTGTTTTTTGTTCAAATGAGAGGGGTGAGTGTTTTCCTTTTTTTGGGCGTCGGCTTATAACATCTATTCTTGGTGTAATCGGATATACGAACAACACCAGAGGTCTTTTTCCCCACTTCTTTTTGCAAAGAAGTATGTGTGTTTTACTGCCACTGAAACTGAATGGGTGGGGATGGGTTGCTGGAATGGTTGAAATCTTGTACCTATCAAAACAGGTATATGAGCTTAATTACATTGTCTCATGCTTTTTCTGAAATGATGAATTTATTTTGCACTGTAGTATTACAGTGTCAGGATTTTCTTTGGCCTTTAGTGTTCTCGCTATATCCATACCATACAACACCTGACCAGCAGTTTGACTATCAATTGGGCTTAGGCAACAAAAAAAGGGTTTGTTGTAGTATAAAATCTTACAATTGGACCTATGGATGTGTGAATAAATAGGGATGAAAAGTTAATTTTTATGGCATTTCTTTGCACAAAAATGATTTCATTGCTAGAATATGAGGAATAAAATTCATTTAAAATATAATGATGAACCTGATGCATTGATAAGGTGTGCAACATGAAGATGTGGGTAATATACTTTCAGACAGGTTTATGATGAGCTCACTAAATTATAGCCTGTGTTGCCCTTAGAGTTACATCTCCTATGAGTAATCTTAGTTTTAGTGTCTGTGCATTTTAGTTGGTGAGTTGGGATCTTGTTTTCATTCTGTGATGTCCAGAGGATCCTCCTTCCAGCTTTAATTAAAAACACCTTAAATCATTGAATCTGGCGCCTGAAGCTCTTTTGCTGAATATTTAATCATATTGTTTTTCACATGAGTGATTGTTGTAGTTGTTAAGACCTGCATGTTTCTGGGAAGTCATTTATTTTTTATCATTATATTTTTTGTCTTGTATTTTAACGTTGAGCTTTTGGGATACATGTCCCATATGAAATCCATAGTTTTATATTTATTTCCTCATTATACTAATATTGAAGTTATGTATAAGTTTATAAAGTGAATTTCTTATTTTGTGTTTGGGAAGATCTTCCAGTTTATTGCTTTCTGACTGCATCTTTACATAATGTCCTCAGTATTATTTTTGAAGCATATGCTTCAGGTCCACGTCCTCCCTTGAAAATTCTAGCTACAATGTATTATTAAGTTCATTGGGATTATTATATTTTCTATACACAACTGAAGTGAGATTTGGCACTGCTGGGAGTGTGATGTTTTACCACAAATTCTTCTTTAGCTCTGTATTTCTGTCTTGTTTGAGTTGGTGTCTTATTTTTCTGTACTTTTGGAATTCCTCCATTATGTTTTTCTTTTGTTTTTACCATGTCTTTTAAACCTTCTTTTTTCACTACTTGTTATTCTCTTTTGTTATTAAGTCAAATGAGTGAGCAATTACCTTTACCTCCAAGCAGAGGAAAATGGGCAAACCATTGAGGTTTCCTTTCCCCTACTTCTCTTCTTAATCTTCTGTTTCCCTTCTCTCTTTTTGGTTCTTTTCACATGTGTCTCCTAAGGTACAATTGTTACACTTGATGAAAATTTGAGCCTTCTTGGAATATTATTGACTGATTAGACAAGAAATGTAGTTCACTTCTATTGTTAAAATTTCTGGCTCATGCAATATTTCTAGAAATTATGGAGAGATTTGTTTCTGACCTATTGTTCATATTTATTATTCGAGTTGATATGGAAGTCCTCTGATATATTTAAGTCAATCGTATGCTTAATTTCTTTGAACTAACTGATTATGTCATGTTTTCTTGGTTTTCTGAATTACTCGTGCCTCTGACTCTTGTTACTTAGGCGACAAAAGAGAGACTTGAACTTGAGGAAGACCATGTCCGTGGAATCAACCTACTTAAGAAGATGAAGAATCGTGTTAGATTACTTGAGCAGCAAATTCATGGCATTCAGGAGCAACATATCAAAGAAACACAGGTTTCAATTTTGCAAAATGATAATTTGATTTTCAGTTTTTTTAAGCTGAACGATCTTTTTCGTAATAGAGTCACTGTTAAAGTAGATTTAATTTTTTATATTCCACACAAGCTTGTGTATGCCACAAGTTAGAAGTAATATATGAGGACCATTATAGTGTTTTTTATTTTTAAAATGCATGGTACATTTCCATATATTTTCTTGGGTGAAAACGTTTTTGAAACAATTAGATCTGGGACTTTTAGGTGTTCTGCCTCTTTTATCTATTATTTACTTTGGTAAAGTTTCTTTTACATGTGCTCTTATGCTCTTACCTTTTGATTTAAATATGAAACATTCCAGCATAAAGAGTTTGGCCTGATCTTTTGTTTGCCAGGGACGGATGTTTCGGATCTTTTCTTCTGTTTGCCAAATGCCATTTCTTTCTAAATCATATTTAGTTCCATCAAGTAAAATCATTTTTGAGTTAATAAGAAAATCAGTCTATAGCTCTAACTAATACATACATGTGGGTTTACGTTGTTTAGTAGTACAATTTTCTTGGTTTATTTAGTAACAGTACTATAATGAGGGGTGGGATTCTGATTTGTCACTTGATGGTTCGAAATGCATCAACTGCCATTTACTTAGCAGTAATTTGTTAACGGTTAAAATGTCTGTTTGATGGGGGCTTCCTTGATGTCTATCAATTTCCATTGGACTAAAAAAATGATATATTGGAAGAATCGTTCTGGTTTTGACTCCATAAGTGGCATGATATTCAACAAATATTATATCAACTTCTTTTTATATCTGTTGCAAATTTGAACTAGCATGAAAAGTGCTCTTAGTTCCTATATACATGGTAAGGATCCTATTATACTTCATTCTCTCTGCTTCGTTCACAGGACCATCTTCTCTAATGCTTTAACAAGGGGCCTGTGGGTTATATGGGTCTGTCCTTGATATTTTTGTTACAAGTAATTTCTGGAGTAATAGCTTGTGGGGCATTTATTTTTAATCTGATCATGAGCTGTTTATACAAATATCGTCTTCTAGGTGGATTTTCTTTGCCGACATCATGGGGTGGAGAAGTTTTTGCCTTATTGTTTAGCGGGTGGTGGTATACAATTTCATTTGAAGAGATACTGTCTTACGAAACATGGATGATGTTTCCATTTGAATTTCTTTTATGTTATCTGTGTTGAGAGAAAGAGTCAGGATTTTCAACTGGAGGACTAGTCTACACAGTGGTCCGAAGATAATTATTTTGAGTCAAAATTTGATCTCTCTTCTTTAAATCTGAATTTGAACATGAATTTCCTCTGCATATTTGTTAACTGCTAAAATGTATCTACTTGATTTATTGATCTATGTTATGAATTCAAAACTATTTGATTAAGGAGATATTTCCATTTGATTAAAGATAGAAATTCTTCTAATCATAATCAAATTCATAGTTGGATAATATTCCATTATAATAATGATGTATAGATCCGAATTTTGAATGTTTAATTGAAAAAGAAAATAAAAATCTGAGAACTCTTCTTTGGGAAGAGAGGGGGAGGGCGGGTGAGGGGAGGGGTGATGGAGGGACTCTAAATTTTCTCAAGACAATTATATTATCAGATTTTATTCCATATAATAATGATGTATAGATCCGAATTTTGAATGTTTAATTGAAAAAGAAAATAAAAATCTGAGAACTCTTCTTTGGGAAGAGAGGGGGAGGGCGGGTGAGGGATGGAGAACTGAAGTATGACATCACATGTTTATAGTAACCTAAAATATAAGAGATTAAATGCATAAACGGATATTAGATAAGCAAACAAATCAAATAATGTTAACGCTTATATTCTATTCATTCAATATGTAAATACCAAAAGCTACGTGAGTTCTTTTAAAAGATTTTTCAACTTGAATTTGAACGAACAGTTAGATGAATTATTACCAAATTATCTGATAACTATTACATCAACTTCCTCCTGTAAGTGTAATTCCAAGCCCAAAGCAGCTTCTGATCTGTATCAAATTTATCTGCACTGTATCTTTTCTTTTCTCTCCTTTTCCCATTTGAAATATTAACGAGGGTTAAAATTTTCTTTTCTTCATATGTAGCATGTGACATTTGATCATTTGTTTTATTCCCTGTGATAGTGTACTTGGATTAATTAAGGAAACAATAAACTTACTGGTAAAGTATCGCAGTTAATTACTTGGAATGATCAAAGTGTATGTGATTCAGATCATGAATTACAAACATACTTGTAACTTCCTCTCAAAGGCAAAAGAGTTTACGGGATCCAAAGGAAAAACATAGGGATCTTTCCTTGCTAGAGCATGTTAGTAGTCAGAGCATGTTCCTAGTCAGAGGAGGAGGAGCATGTTCCTAGTCAGAGCATGGGAACTGTAGTCCCATTTTTACTGACCTTTTTTTTAGAGTTAGGAATACTTGAAGCTAACAGAGTGAAGCAAGGAAGCCTAGTCATCTTCATAGGTCACGGCATAAGGATTTACAATATTGTTGCTTCTTGTTCACTGACTGAAGGTAAAAAAATTGATATCCATGTGGAGGCACGTACTTGCATGGAATCTGCTTGTCTTCTTCCATGTCTATTGTAACATATCATATTATATGTATTTATCATGAATTATGTGGTGTATCAAAAGAGAGCAATTTTTGTCTGCTTTAATGTTTGAATTTGTTTCTCATTTTTTATTTACCTTCTCTTTTTTTTTAAATGTCAGAATGTGCAAATGTTATTTTGTACAATTTCATTTATATGTGTGCATGCTGCGTGAGTGTGTGCGCATGTGTGTATGTGCGTGTGTTCAGAATAGCTCAATGGTCGGATAAGATTTGAACTGTTAAATGTCTCTCCTAAACAGTAGAAATGTACTGATTTCTGTTGCTTCTTTTATCATAACCGTGTTAGATTTTTCTTGTTTTCGAAAAATTGAGTCTTAACGTTTTTTTTTCCTGTTGGTTTTTGGTGTGTTGTGAGGTGGGATCCACTCACGATATATGACTAACTTGTGGGGTTCTCTCTCTCTCTCCAGTTTATGTGTCTAACTTCTGATCCATGGCGGTACACCTATGGTCTGGATTGGTGTCAGATAGAAGTCACTCGCATTAGGATCTAGTAATAAGCATGTTGTCGTTGTTTGAATTAGATAAATAATTTAAACATCCTTTTATTATTTCAATGGCTATTTCTGTTTTAGGGGTTTAACTATTAGCTACGTTATGAAGTATTTTTTATAGTAAAGTTCGTGACTCGTTCCAGTTGCTAGAAGTGAATTTATGTGAAATGCTGTCTACGGTCTGTATT